GAGTGAATTCATGCATGCTGAAGGTGAAAAATTAGAAACTTTGTTGATTGCTTCCGATGGATATGACGAGAATATTTGGTACTTAGATAGTGGAGCAAGCAAACACATGACACAAAATAAGAAGTTGTTTTCCACAGTTGATGAAACCAACAACGGAAAGGTTACCATTGGGGATGCCAAGTCATAAGAAATTCAAGGCGTTGGAGAAATAGCATTCGAGGCAAAGTTTTGAAAAGCTGAAAAGATGTCGGCCCCTTCTTCTACAGTTCCCGACACCAACTCTTTTTCCTCCTCTCCTTCTGGAGGTAAGCTGACAATCTTTTCCCCTACTACTTTCATCTTCTTCTTAGGCGGGGAAGGGGGAGGAGTTGTCGTTTTTTTTCTTTCTTTTCTTTTCTTTGGGGATCAGGCTGAACCCCTTGGACTCCAGCCGATTTTTGTGAAACGCTGTCGGAAGCCGCGGCTTCATAAGCAGATAAGGGGTCGGAGTTGTCATATCGACGCCCGCGCGTCTGCATAGCTTTGTAATTAGGGTCTTGTGACCCAACATCCTGTTTATCTTCTTTCGCAACCAGATGTCTATGCAGATTATCGTGCCCATATATATCGATGTCAGCCTTTTCCTCGAAGATTGAAAGCAGCGCGACCATATGTTCGAGTCTGATGTCAGTCATGTGTGAGGTTATCATTATCCTGCTCAGCGACCACGTCACCCATTCTTTCTTGTCGTCGTCTACCGACCAAATTTTAAATTTCTTTTCTCGAATTCGAGGGTGATGGCAAAGGTCCTATAAAGGAATGATGTTTTGGTTTGTACTATTCATCCCTTGAATGCTCTCTAGTAAGATGGTTACACCCCTCATAATACCACTTTGACAAATTATATGCTCCTCTATTATTATCAACATGGACCTATTAGGATCTAAATAGCATGGTCTACTACATGAACCTTGACAGGTTTAATTTGTATACAATTTCTCGTCCAAGATTCCTATAATCGTGTTAAAGTTAAACTATACCTATATGGTGTTTCACCCATAGGGCATGCCATATATCATATAGATCTTTCCATCTTTTTTTTTTTGTTTTTTTTTTTTTTTTGCATCATATCGAAGTTTTAAATAGTAAATATATTATAGTTATTTCAGATTTATTTGGATGGAATCAATATGATGGACTAAGGACAGACTAGATATGAGAATTATCTGGTTAATTTAGATGATGAATTATCAATGTTATGTATTCAATAAAATCAACGGTTGCTTTGGTTAATTTAGGTAATGGATTACAAATGTTATATTTTGGTTTTATATTTAAAAGAATAGTTCATATAAGAATTTGATAGAAATTTTTTATTATAATTTGTAATTGTGTATATTATATGTGTATCTTGGTTTGTTCAATGTGTTAAGCAAATAGAAAATTTTCTCTTGTGCGATATATTCTTTGTATTTATCATTTGGAAATTAATCTTATGTAAGTTTGCATTTTATTGCAATTGCTTGGCCATTCTTAAGTGCCTTCCCGGAGATTGGAGCAAGAAGTTTGTTTTTCAATTGCAACTGCTTTGTCATCCTTAAGTGACTCCTTGAAAATTGCAGAACAACGACCATGTGTGCTCATTATACTATGTTAATACTTATATTTATTTCTTTATCTTTTGAATGTTCGATATTCTGGATTTTGGATATGTGTTGGAACTCATTTGATAAGATTGTTCGGGACAAAATATTACATTTATATTTTTGGCGTGTCGGAAACGTTGTTGGATCGGGGTCATTTTATATGCCTTTTTATAATTTTTCTATTTGATAAAAAAAAAAGAAGGTATTATGCTATTTGTGATGAAATTAGTTCTATAACAAAGTCCTTCTTTGACGCAAGGAAGTCTTTTGTAGCAACATTTCATTACGGACATTGTCTGACACAAATGGTGTTTCACGGTCACATGAACTGTGCTTTATTTTTTTGTTAAGGACAAATTTTGTAACAAATAATTTTCTAACCAAAAGTCTACTTTTGTACCGCCTTTATTGTTTCGGATATATTTTCTAACAAAAAGTTTCCTGACAAGATTTCACTTTTGTTCCACATTTTTTTATGCGGACATATGTCGTTACAAAATCATGATCGATTCTTTTGGTACGTATAAAAAATGTAACAAATACAATTAATAGATGCTTATTTACTACATTGACTACCACTTATTTGTTATGGATTTTACCTCAACAATGACCTTTTGTACTGTGACTTTTCATAGCAGTCAAAATCGGTAACAAAGTTGACACAAACGACCTTTTTGTACAAAAATTGGGTTTTTGTTACGAATTTTAGACCGCTACAAAAAGGCAATTTTTTGTTAGTAGCTAATTACGAATAGGGAAGGAGAAAAACTTTTCAATAGACCATATAGATCACCGTGGGTACTTTTTTTTTTTATCTTGTTCTAAACCTTCGCTCTATGAACTCGTGGTGTAACTTATCTAAATGTAGACTAGACCTCGAAACCTGCTATTTTGATACCTAACAAATTTGGACATCACATATTTGTTGAGAAAATTGCAAAATATATAAATTAATAATAATAACATAATTATTATTGTTATTATTAGGTGGGACTTGGTCAAGTCAAATTAAAAGTATCATTATTCCACGTTGATAGAACATGGTTTCATTTTTAACGTTAGGAATATGGTTCTTCTTCTGCCTATTAAATGGCCGCACTTAAGAAAATTAACTTACGTATGCTGGCATTGAGGCTAGGAGGGAGAAACCAGAAGATCTAACTCAACGTCAAAAGATTGTTCTGCTTATGAGAATGGGTGAGAACGGGTTTGAACTAAGGTCAGTAATATATACATATTTAATCGACTATAATTGCAACAGTTTTGTAAGAATCACAAAGTTTAAGGTTTTGTGAATTATTTGATTGTATAATATTAAACTTACGTGTAGTATCAGACAATGGTTTTGAACTTGAAAATTTTCTGAATTATGAAAGGATAGATTTTTCTGCTCCGATCTATGAATGTGTGATTTGCGAAAGTTTTATTTATAAAATTATTATTATAATATAATTTAAATGATAATACGTGTACATTTCTGAAAACTCTGTGATTTTGAATATTAATTTGAGATATGCTGATAATAATATTGTTATGACTTGTTGAGAATTAATTTATGCGATTATATTTATGAGATTGATTATCTACTAGAGTTTATGTGTAATTTTATATAGGGTTGTTGTTATATATCAAAATAATTCTTCTTGAGTATATCAAATTAAAAAAATTTCAACGTATCATTATGGGATATATTTCTGTATATGCGTATGTTAAATAAATTTTATTAATTATTCTTTAATGTTTACATTTAATAATAATATCATGGGATTAGTTTATCATAATTAGTTAAATTTTTATCACACAAATTATGGAGTATTATAGCATAATAAACATCCAATTTCTTTATGTATAATCCAATACGCAATATGAATAAAACGAAATAAACAATAAATAATATATTTGCGGAATTTGTATTAATTAATTGTCAAAGTGAATGTGATCATCCTTTTGTTATTGCATGTCACAAATTCAATACATGCTATTTGTATTAATTAATTTGTTTCGCTATTGAAAAATCCACTTTTCGTGCAAAATAGTCTTTTGTGTCGACTTTGTTACGGATTTTAATTGCTACGAAAAATCACGGCACAAAAAATCATTATTGCAAAATCTGTAACAAATAAATGACGGTCAACGCTCTAAATAAGCCCTTGCTAAATGTATTTGTTACGTTTTTTTGTATGTAAGAAAAAAATCAATCATGTTTTTGCAACAACATATGTCCGTAATAAAAAATGCGGAACAAAAGTGAAATTTTGTCAGAGATATTTTTGTTACGAGATATAACTGTAACAAAAAATGTGAAACAAAAATAAATCTTGTCAGAAAACGTTTTGTTACGACATATGTTTGTAACAAAAAATGTGAAACATGTCAAAAAACGTTTTGTTACAAAAAATTTCCGTAACAAAAACTGCGGTACAAAAACCGTCTCAACGTCAAATAAAATTTTCGTCACCACAAATGAAAATTGGTATTTCATAAAGAAGCAGTTGCATGACAAAATAACTTAATGCATAACTTTATCATAATTAATCCAAAATCCTTAATGAACCCGACAAAATAACATCAATCCAACAACTTCCATAAAAATTCCAAAAGAAAAAATTAACTGTCAAAAGTACTTTAAAGCATCTCAACTATGGCCATTATGCCCTATACCGATCTAACATCCACCTAATATACTATCCCCAAATTTCAAAATGTAGTTACCTAAGTAACTACGGCCATCATGCCCTACACCCATCAATCCAATACCATACCGCAATACAATATTAAAGCCATCTAAGAATGACAACTAGGGACAACCAAGCACATTGATTGTAGAATCACAAATGAGGCGATAAGAGGCGGTTAACCAACTACAATGAATTTTCAAGTTAAACAAGAATTTATTATTGCAATTGCATCATTTAATTCTCAAAAGAATACAACTAATTAAAATATATGTACATTTTTGTTATCTTCGTCGAGTACCTCACCGAGGATCCTCGCTCCGACATTCATTGAGAGTATAAGTGGGATATATAGGACCGTAACAGCCGTGACAAACATTTTAACAATGACTAGGGTATCATCTATATAAATACAAAAAGCATGTGATAGTTATGACAAAAAATGACTTTCGTAAACAGATTTATAAATACATATGAGTTGTAAAATTGTAACGGCATACGAAAGTAAATAACATATCCAGACATGTATAACAAAAAAAAATATCCATCAACTTATTGTAGGACCATATCCTAAATAAGCATATAGCAATGTTTAAAACATAAACATCAGATTGACCACCTAACACAGTCAAACCAAACAACAACAATAAACCACCAAACAGCTCATACAACACCAACAAACTAAAACAACCCGGATGACTACCAAATAATGAATAATCCATAAAAGCATAAGTCCATATGAGGCCGGACAACAACAATAAACCAACATTTATAAACCATAACACTATAATCCATATCAGTCCGTACAACAATAAATAAACCATACGAATGAAATCCTCATACAACATAAATAACATAACAGCCTCTATAGCAAAAAATAACCAACAAACAGGCCTTACAACAAGGGTCGATCCCATCCACGTCAAGACGCTCCAATGATGACAGATTGCAAAGCCATGAGTTATCACTGGATGTAAAGTTTGGCTCAGATCAAGGGTGTGCAGGTTTGAAAGATTGCCAAGATGTTGTGGGACAGTTCCTCCAAAGGCAGTAAAAGAGATATTAAGATAATGCGGTTGCTTCAGCTATCCTAAAAACTCATGAATCATTTTGGATGGAAAGTAGTTTCCACTCAAGTCCAGTGAGTTCTGATACTTTAATTAAACTAGAGAAGGATCTAGGCTTTCACTACTTAAGATATTACTCAACAACATACCATTGTATCTGAGATTAAGTAGGATGATATACCCTGTAGTCTCATCACAAGTAATACCTTCCCATGTGCAGCAATCAATGCACCTCCACAAAGGCAGTGTAATATTAGCAGGATCATCAAGGCTTGATTTGAACTTGAGAAGAGTTTTCCTCTCTTACTGCAATGCAACCAATTGATGTATTTTTAGCAACGCAAAATCCACAACTCTGAAACAAACAGTGTAATGGAAAAGAGAAGAAAGCAAGCAAATATCTTCTTCATATCGACACAAATATAAACATATACAAAATGTTTATAGTGAAAGTATGTGGTAAACAAAAAAAGATTCATCAATTTTTATTGAGTGGCACTTATGTTTAAGTTCTTTCACATCTAATGTTTCTTCATTGCGAACTTTCCACACGCCACCCATTTAATGCATTTAATAGGACAAATTGAGTAAAGAAAGTTTGGGAACTTGGAACACCAAAAATGTTCAGCATGCATTTAGTCTATCAATAATATTTGATCCTTCTACCATTAACATCAGAGATTTTTGATGAAATTGACGTAACAAGAAAAAAAAGACTTTAATATTTTATAATCGACATTCAAGATAGAATAACATTTTTCACAGATAAGTACACTAACATCTATATTAAGTTAATAAGGAAGACATCTATAAGTTCACACACATAAGACAATGTTGTTGACACATGAATCATTTAATTTACTTTTAGAATATCACATCTAATATATCTTTATTTTAAAAAATTTAAATTCAAAACATTCAATAATACATACTAATACACAACTAAATATATTCATGGTTGCAATAATTCAATATTTATTGAATACACATATTTATAAAGTAATTGAACAACAAAGGGTATGCATCACATATCTGCACCATAACACACAACTTACATTAAGTTTACACATATCATAGTTTCAAACCATTAAGCCTCATAATTTTAGATAATTAACAACGCTCTAGGGTGTATAGAAACTATTGTCTAGATCAACACCAGTAAGTGAAATCACATCTTTTTGCATCAATACATCACATTCATCCAAAGATGATTAACACACACAAACATATCAAGGGAAAATAAAATAGCCTAATGTACATCAGACATAATACAAAACGCATTATTTAAAAGCCGAGAAATATAAAATTTGTTCTATTTACAAAACTCATTGCAAGTGAAATATCAAATTTGTTCCATCAGTGTAAATAAACCCCTAATTTTATAGACTACTACATATTATTGAAAAATACGACAAAACTCATTGCACTTACAATCTAAGTCCCATAATTTGAATTTAGACTAGTTGGTCAAAATAGATTCAAAGTTTTTCAACATGTCAGATGCCATTACAACTAACAAGAGAAATACACATCAGGTGTGGAAGAAAATAACAAAACAGACTACCCAACACAACTAGCTATCAAAGAGCAATATGTGAGCTAACAAGTCACATGAAAGTATCGCCACACCGAATAATTGATACAAAAAATAAAAATAAAAATAAAAATTCACATCATACATTTAAGGCAATGAAGTGAAAAACACTCAATTAACACGCGAAAGAATCAATTGCAGCAAAGACACCACTGATAATCAAGGTTCAGCATAAAAAAAAAGTTCAATTTTCAATTCAAGCATGCCAAACCAAGTCAAGATAATCAAATCAGTTTTATATCACAACCAATAGCCGATAAAAGAGTCGAGAGAGAGATAAATCAACATAGATATCACATAAAATTCCTAGGCAATGCAATTCAACCATCACAGAAAAAAATTGGGGCGCACAAGTTCAACAAAATTCATAACACCAATATAACTAGTCTAAGGAAGAATATTCAAAAATTGAATTAGCAAATCACATGCCTAACACTTTAACATTACTATCACTTCTTAAATTATCGACACAAAATTCATGATCACTGGCAATAAATTCAATATTAATTGGCAAGCAACAATATCAGTTGCTGACCAATAATTATCCTAAAATTTAAAATATTAAAAGAACAATGATGAAGGTGTAGACACTAACACTACAAAAAAATAATATATTTGTAACAAAATTCCGTCCCTAAAGTTTACGTAGCTAACGTAATTCCGTTCATAATTCCGTCTCTAATGTCATTAGTAACGGAAAAAGTAAATTTAGAGACAAAAAAATTTTGTTACAAAAATTATTTTTTCTTGTAGTGTAAAAATATATGTCTAAAATCAATTAAATATCATGTATTTTGGAAGAAAATAAAATTCCAATAAAATAAATATATGGTATTTAATTATGCACATATGTTAATTTTTGTACAATAAATATCAACCATTAATGCAAAAATTTGCTTAAAATGGAAGATATCGTACAAATATTACGTGCATAAACAGAGTCATAATAATTTTGGCAGCAAAATAACTTAATCTTGTCAATAAAGAAAGTATATAAATTAATATCTTCCGAAAAATAGCAATGATATAAAGATCATGGCGAGAAAGGAATGTGCACAATCAAATCCGTCAAGAATGGAAAACATCTGATGGAAAATGAAAGATTATAAAATATTCCTATTGGCCAATCAAAACGCACCACGTGACACCATTAAAAAAGGAAGTCGAAGCCACCCCTCCCCTATAAATAGGAGTCATGGCCAGTTCATTTGAGACACCGAAGTTTCATCGAGGATTCAAGAAAATGGGTAAGTCTCTAGACTCTCTATGTATTGTTCTTCATGTTCTTCGTGTCCTTCGAAGCGTTCTTCATCGAAAATCACTAATTTGGACAAATGATCCAATAGTGGTTGACAAATCAATGAAGTTAACGTTCTTCGTCTTATGTCCAAGTCGGAGGAAGGATCAAAGCTCTCAAAGCCGTTGAGGAATTTGTCAAAGCCAAGGAAAAGTCTCCGAAGTTCCTCTCAAAGCTTCAAGATGTTCATCACGTTCTTCAACAAAGAATCAACTAGGCCTTCTTCGATCCAAAAGTCAAAGGGACACGCCGCCAAAAATGTTATGGAGCACCAAATCCACATTTTCAAGGATCAAAGTTCTCAAAGCCGTTGAAGAATTCGTCAAAGCCAAGGGAAGGTCTTCAAAGTTTCTCTCAAAGCTTCAAGATGTTCATCGCGTTCTTCAACAAAGCATCAACTAGCCTCTCTTCAATCCAAAATTTAAAGGGAAACGCCGCCAAAAGTGTTATGGAGCACCAAATCCACTTCTTCAAAGATCAAAGTTCCAAAAGCCGTTGAAGAATCCATCAAAGCCAAGGAAGAGCATCCAAAATTCATCCCAAAGCTTCGAGTTGTTCATCGCGTTCTTCACCAAAGCATCAACTCGTCCCTCTTCGATCCAAAAGTCAAAGGGACATGCCGCCAAAAGCATTATGGAGCACGAAATCCACCTCCTCAAAGATCAAAGCTGCAGATCGTCCAAAAAAGACATCAAATCCAAAGCCAATGATCAAACTGCTCACACGGAGACCAAAGTCCTCAAAAAGCGGCAAAGCCAAAACAAAGATCAAAGTCTCGGATCGTATAAAGAAGACAATAAATCCAAAGCCGATTATCAAGTCGCCTACATGGAGACCGAAGCTCTCCAAAAGGCGGCAAAGCCAAAGCAAAGATCAAAGTCATAGATCGTTTAAAGAAGACATCAAATCCAAAGCTGAGTATCAAATCTCCCACACGGAGATCGAAGCTCTCCAAAAGGCGTCAAAGGCAAATTAAAGATCAAAGCGGATCGTCCAAAGAAGACACCAAATCCAATACCAACGATCAAGTCGCCCACATAGAGACCAAAGCCCTCCAAAGTCCGGCAAAATCAAACCGAAGACCAAATCTCTTCGGATCAAAGAAGCAATCGAAAATCAAGTTGGAAAACAAATCGACCCGGAAGGAGAATCAAATGACCCATTTAGAGAATATGATCCGCTTTAAATTCAAATCAAATATAATTTGTACAAATTTTGTATTTATTAAAAATAACACAATTATTGGTCCACAAAGGGATATCACCATATCGGAGGATGAAGACCGGCGGCGGCGGTCGGCGCAGCTGGGTCCGGGTGAGCGCGGGTTTGGGCACAGGCTCGGAGGTGGTTGGACTCGGTATGGAGACTATCGTAGTGGAGGCGCGTGACGGAGTGGAGTCGGGCGGTTGCGGTGGCTCGGTTGTTGGTCGACAGGTTGAAGCGTGGTGGAGAAGTGGTGATGGCGTTGCTCGGACTAATTGTGTTGGCGGAAGTGGTGGACATCCGTCAACGTCGCGGTGGTTGAGGCCGGAGGTAAAAGCGCCCGGATGGTGGTGCGGCGACGGACAGTGTGAGGCGGTGGGGCAACGGGCAGCAGAGGAGGACGAATGACTGCAGGTTGAAATGTGTTAAATTTGGGTATTAGGGCTAGGAATTAATATTAAGGATTTTCGGATTTATTTTTTAATTCTTTTAATTTTTTTTTTTATTTTTACTTTTAAATATTATATTTATTCTTTTTTTATGGATTGTATGCTTAGAAAATGTATTTAGTATCGTATATTGTCATAATTTTATTTGTTACGAAAATAAGCAAAACAAATAAAACATTTAGCTTGACTAATTATAAAACTTTTTGTTAAGGTAATTTTCACTACTAAAATTAACTTTTGCTACGGATTATTTGTTGCGACTATAAAATTGCTACAAATGAGAGTTTTTTTTTGTAGTGTTTGGTATTTAAATTATGAGTAATACAATTAAATTAATACTCCCCCCGTCTCTTAATAATCTATTCATTTTTCATTTTTGTCTATCCCATAACAAAGTATCCATTTTCTTTTTTATTAATTATATTATCTACCTAACATTACAAATACCCTTCCAATTTACAATATATTACACAAATATCATAACGTTTATATCATACAATACTAATAGGGTCAATTTAGTTTTTTTATCTTTATTTCTACTTTATCTCAATATAATACTAATATTTCTAAAACTTCGTGCAAAAAGCAAATTGATATATTGATATGGAACGGAGGGAGTATAATTCTATTTCTGAATTGTATTAAATAAATTTAGATATAATTGAATGTATTATTTAACTTAATATCTAAATTATTAATAATCTGTAGACATTAAACTAAATACAAAATTTAATTACCCATTAACATGAGACGTTGTTGTGACATTATAATTTAATAATAGATAAATTGAAGTTCATTAATTATAAAAATATTAAAGGATCAGCCCAAAGGTAGATCAATTATTTTATAATTAAGATTATGATTGAAAATTATTTAAGTACTTTTGTTAAATGTGCAAGTTTATCCAAAAATGACATGCATGTTCAATTAAGGTGCGATTAACTGTGTGAATTATGTTAGCATCGATTATGTATAATTAGTACGTTGTTATTCACCCAAAGGAGAATTGCAACTTACATTTATTGCATTTATTTTGAATTTGATTTGAAAATCTAATTATTTTAATTTGCAGTATTTGTGCCCGCTTTGCTTCATTCGCATGCATCATTTGTTCATATGTTCAATGGGCTTAACCATCTCGAATAGTTTGAGAGCACAATCATTTTCAATTTAGTGTTTTAGGTCTGACTTACCACTCCATGTTGAAAAGCTTTCTGCTATTACTCATACTAACAAGGAAGGTGAAAAGTCTTTCTATAATGCTTGGGAGAGATCGAACATATTATGTTTGATGCTTATGCAGATGAGTATAACGAAAAATATTAAGTCTACTATTCCTAAAATCAATAATGCTAAAGAATTTATGAAAGCAGTTGGGGAACGCTCTCAATCTACGGATAAGTCTCTTGCTGAGACACTAATGGCTACGGTAACCACAATAAAGTTTGATGGTTTACGATCCATTTATAAGCATGTCGAAGATGACAAACCTGGCAGTAAGATTGAAAGCCTTAAGAATAACTATGGATGATAACTTTATGGTGCAGTGTATCTTGAATTCACTACCCCCTGAGTATGGTCCATTCCAAATGAACTATAACACTATGAAACATAAATGGAATGCGAATAAACTTCACAGTATGCTAGTTCAAGAGGAAACACGACTTAAAAATCAGGCTCTCATTCAATTCATCTTATTACCATTCAAGGAGCTCATACCAGAGTTGGGAATACGAAAGTGAAGGGCAAGCATGGACCATTGAAAGTGAATGTGCTGTATGTCCAAGCCCCGAAGAAGGAACTCAATAATGTCAAGTGTTGCTTTTGTGGAAAACCTGGACACTTTCAAAGAGATCGCCTGAAATGAAACGCTTGGTTAAAAAATAAAGGTACTAATGGTTTTGTATGTTTCAAATCAAATTTAATTGAAGTTCCTCATAATACGTGGTGGCTTGATTCCGGCTGTACCACTCATGTTTCCAATTTCTTGCAGGGATTCCTTACAATTGAAAGCACAAAGCCAACCGAAAGAGTTTTTTTAAATGGGAAATCAAGTCAAAGTTCCGTTGAAGCCGTAGGAACCTACCGTTTAATTTTAGATTTTGGACACCATTTAGATTTTATTGAAATTCTTTATGTAACTTCTGTTTCTTGGAATTTGGTTTTTATTTTTAGACTGTTGGATTTTCATTTAATTTTGGCAATAGTTGTTTCACTATATTCAAAGATAATCATCCCATTGGTTCTGGTGTTCTTGAATGTGGTCTTTACAAGTTCAAACTTGACAAGGTCTTTACTGAAACCCTTTTAACCCTGCATTATGATGTTGGAACTAAAGGTGGTTTACTGATCGAAAACTCTGCGTACTTGTGGCATAAATGTTTGGGGCATATTTCCAAAGAAAGAATTTAAGATTAGTGAAGAATGAAATCATTCCCGATTTAGAGTTCACTTATCTTGGTATTTCCGAGGATTGTATAAAAGAAAATAAACAAAAAAAATACAAAGAAATGAGCCACAAGAAGCACAGAACTTCTTGAAATAATGCACATTGATATTTGCGGACCATTTGATGTTTCCTCTTTTGAAAAAGAAAAATATTTCATCACCTTCATCGATGACTTTTCACGTTATGGTTATGTCTATCTATTACATAAGAAATCTCAGTCAATAGATGCTCTAGAAGTGTTTATTAATGAGGTTAAAAGACAACTAGATAGAAAAGTGAAAATCATCAGATCTTATAGAGGTGGTGAATATTACGGAAAATATAATGAATCGGATCAATAGCAAGATCCATTTGCCAAATTTTTTGAAAAGCGTTGTATATGCGCTCACTACACTATGCCAGGTACACCACAACAAAATGGTGTAGTTGAAAGGTGTAATCGAATGCTTTTGGAGTATGGTTAGGAGTATGCTTAGTAACTCTTCACTGCCCATATCATTGTGGATGCATGCACTTAAAACTGTCATGTACTTATTGAATAGGATTTCTAATAAAGTAGTTCCTAAAAATCCCATTGAGTTGTGAACTGACAGAAAACCTAATTTAAGGCACCTGCATATTTGGGGTTGCCCGGCAGAGATAAGAGCTTATAATCCATATGAAAGAAAATTAGACTCAAGGACGATCAATGGTTTCTTCATTGGTTATCCCGACAAGTATAAAGGTATAAGTTTTATTGTTCTAGTCATAGTACAAGAATTATTGAAGTTGGAAATGCAAATTTCATTAAGAATGGTGAAATTAGTAGGAGTCAAGAACCTCGAAAGATTGACATTCAAGAAGTTAGGGTGCACATTCCTGTACCACTGACTTTTAATAATGTTGTTGTTCCTCTTGTTGTTGAACCCCATAACACTAGACACGAACAACAAATTAATGAACAATTGACCCACAATGAAGATAATGAACTTGCAGTAGATGAACCACGTGAAATAGTGTTGCGAAGGTCTAAAAGACAAAGACACCCGACTATTTACAATGATTATGTGGTATACCTATAAGACTTTAAATGTGATTTAGGACTCAATGACGATCTAACTTCATTTCAGAAGCCATGGAAAGTGATAATTCTATGACGTAGGAGCGGGAGAAGAAGCTGAAAAGTTGGCAGCATAAACGCAGCAAAAGATCACCAACAGTCCATCAACTTAGATAATTAAAATGCTTTGATTGGAAATGCGTTATGGTGCATATCCTATATGGTTGGAAATCTCTTCCACTCTACTTTTCAACAAAAAATACGGATCTAAAAAATAAACTTCTACTGAACGTTACGGCCATTTCACTGAAACGTGGCAGACTGCAAAGAGTCACCGAACCAACTTTGATATTGTTGATTTTGATGATTCATCTCCTCATTATGAACCTTGGTTTCTTCATATTCATAGTATTTATCCATCTTTATTTAAGTTTACATTTATTTGGAGTTTAAGTTGATGCCTATATTATGACTATCATTTGTAAGTTTGAAGAAGAAGTTTTGGGGAATTAAAAATTTACCTTAAGCTATTAAGCTTGTTGGAAGATATTGTCTTCTTATATTTTACTCTAAACTCTTTTGGTGGATTCCTAGAGTGGTGAGTGGTGAGTGGTGAGTGTTTTCTTGTGGTACCTCCTACTTCTCTAATTTTCCGGCATCATTCTAATAAGTGGTTAGATGCCATGAATGATGACTTAAAATCTATAAACGAGTCAGGTGTAGATGGGTCTTCAAGACCAAACACGACTCAAACGGCAATATAAAAAAATACAAGGCCAGACTAGTTGCCAAGGGTTTTACTCAAAATCTTTTTGTTGATTATAAAGAGACATTTTCGCCAGTGTCTAAGAATGATTTGTTTAAAATTATCATGGCTTTGGTGGCTTATTATGATTTAGAGCTACACCAATGGATATGAAAACAACATTTTTGAAATTTTGATGTGGAAGTTTATATGGAGAAATTTGAAGGCTTCTCCATTAAAGGAAAGGAAAATATGGTGTATAAACTTAAGAAATCAATATACGGGCTTAAACAAGCTTCCCGACAATGGTATCTCAAGTTTCATGATACCATAACTTCTTTTGGACTTAACGAAAACACTGTCGATAGATGTGTGTATCTGAAAGTCAGTGGGAGTGCAAAGTTGTTTATGCCTTGATGACTCCGCTCATGTTAAATCAGCTTGACAAGTTATGAATGCTTAAGGATCAATTGCTTATATTTGAGATTCACTCTACTCACAACCATGACATTCATCTTATGCAATACTTAACTGCCTTGAAAAGGTTAATTATTTATTCCACGATTGAGTTTGTTCGAGAATGAACAAAGGTTTAGTGTGAGGAAGTTTGATTACTCCAAATAATAACATATTTTTCGCTTGCCAAAACTGTGTACTACTTGAATTTTTATGTGAAAATCATCACAATACCTCATTTATTGAATACTTTATTGAATTGTTTTGCTTG